AGAGATGGCGCAAAGGGTAAGTGAGCATGCTGATTACTTATACAATATTACTTTTTAGAATCATCTGTATCTTTTATTTCTTCTGCAAATTGATCTCCGGGGCGGGAGTCACAGGGGGATAAGTGGGAAGGCATGCTGATTACGAAAACAAAATAGCGATAGGGAATTGGCAAATAGAAGTGAGCACTATACTAGGGAAATTCGAATTTCGAATATTCGACTGTCGAATATTATTCGGAAATGGAAATTTTCGATTCGAGTAATATTCGGATATCGAACATCATTCGTTATTCGAATTCCGAATGTTATTCTGTTCTCGAATATTATTCGATTTTCGAACATCATTCGCTTTTCGAGTACTTTTCGAATAATTTATGTCAGTAAGACTGCCAATGAGATACCAAAGCATACAATGGATTGTTTCATGCAAGTATCAAGAGAAGACATTTTCTTATGTTACAATTTACGATGAAAAAACGGTTTAGTGGTGATGTGAAGAGACTTAAGAACCTATTAGGTTGTCCCATAAGTTTTTTATTTTTGAATTTTCGCTATAATAAGTCACATACTTCTTGTTCTAAATAGACATCAGGATAACGATAGAGAAAAGCAAGCTCTAAAAGATGGCATTTATGCTTTTGCACAAGCTTGTCCATCTCATGTTTCAAACCAAAATCTGAAAAGTTTCGGATGCCCAGAAAATTTTTAAAAAATTTCTATCTCCGTTCAAAAAAGTCCTACAGATCTCTCATTCTCTCACGCATATACAATCCACACCAGACATTCATATGTGCTATTGCTGTATTTTTTTATCAGCTAAAAATCAAAAAACCGAAATTTTCTATGTTTTTACCAAAGTGATGCTGTGCTGTTCTTACTTTAACAGTTGTATACTAGAAGCCCTTAGAAGTACTACTGTATATTTTTGGCTCTCTATAAACTCTGGTTCACGAGAAATAGAAGCTTTTTTTACTCGGGTTTCACAATCAACTCAGCATTTGTCGGAAACCAGAGCTTATTGAGAGCTAAAACTTTATGGTTGTAATTCCTAAGGGTTTGTAGTATACAACTGTCAGGGTGAGAACAGCACAATATCACTTTGGTAAAAACATGGAAATTTTCGGTTTCTTGATTTCTAGCTGATAAAAAAAAATACAGCAACAGCACATACGAATGTCTGAATATGCGTGAGTTAGTGGGAAATCTGGACCTCTTTGAACGGAGATATAAATTTTTTCAAAATTTTCTGGGCATCCGAAACATTTCAGATTTTGGTTTGAAACATGAGATGGACCAAGCTTGTGCAAAAGCATAAACGCCGTCTTATAGAGCTAGCTTTGCCCTATCGAATGGTACCCTAATGTTTATTTAGAATAAGAAGTGTCTGACTTATTACAGCGAAAACTCAAAAATGAAAAGACTTATGAGACGACAAATAAAAGCGTACTCATTTTCAAAAATTCAAAGAAGAATAGATACCCTCCATTGAGAGTTGTGGATTGTTGATATAGAAGGGTCCCAAAAGTATGTTAGTCTGTGGGCTGACATTACCTTGGACCTACAGTATGGCGCGATTTATCGATCGCTTTTTACTGTTGTAAAATTAGTGTAGGAAAATTGAAGAGACTTTTGAGACATCAAAGGCAGCGTCCCTGCAAAAAGATGGGTGCGGGGTTTCTGTGGCAATCTTAAAGTAGACCCCCTACCTAAGCGATGACTGAAGTTCGAAGCGAAAGAGGGGGTCTACCAAGCCTGAAATTTGCTCCGAAAGTGGCCCGAATCTTACGGTAGGCCCGCCCACACAGCAATATCGATTTGCAAGGCCAGAGTGCGTATAGCGCACACAGTCGTGAGCGCAGGGTCCCGCAAAGACTCTGCGTCTCTACCTTGCATGCATCTCGCACTCGTCCGAACCTACCGTAAGATTCGCGCCACTTGAGAGGCGATTTGTAGACTTCGTAGACCCCCTTTCGCGCTGCAAACTTCTGTCGTCGCTTAGTTAAGGGGTCTACTAATACATTTTACCGGAACCAGGAACCCCCAGCCTGGTGGAACTGCCTTCAAGAGCCGTTTCCTCAGGAAAGGGAATCAGAAAGGCTGAAAGTCTTACATTAAACTTCGGAAAACACTCGCTATATATAGAATTTGCACTCAATCGTGACGTTTTTTACGACTTTTGCGAGGTACACCATGACACATGTTTTTGAACCCTCTCAAAAACGTGATTGCACATTTGAAAAGCTTGACAACTCGTGCGTAGTAAAATCAGCACAAGTAAAAACTCTGCTACACAGATTTTAGATCTCTTTTGGGGAAATTTTGTTGAATGTCTTGTTTCGCAGTTGTTCTAAACGCTGGAAGCTTCTACCATAAGAACACAATAAGAAAGACATGAGTGATTCGCTTTCTGTTGCATTTGTAAGGTGAAGCCATCCCTACAGGATGTTACCCAAAGGCTGGCAAAAGACTTTGTGAGAGGTACTAGCGAAACTGTGTAGATACTCTTGGGACATCCGGTATATATTGTGAATATCGAATTTCCTAATATTCAATGCTCATAATTTTCGAATATTTATAGTCGGTGATCATTGAATACTCGAATATTTGATGGAAATCGAGTGATCGAATCAATGACCATCGAATATTCGACTTTCGAATAATATTTGAAAATGAAAATCTTCGAATAGTCGATATCGAATATTATTCGAAACCCCAGATTTTCGAATACTTGAATCTTCGAATCATTGGCATTCGAATGATTTATTCGAATAATCAAATAATCATTCGATTCGGTTCAAAGTATAGTGGGCGCAGGGGAAGGTTTGTACAGGAAAAAGGATAGTAGCCCTTAACATGATGTTTTGACAGGCCGGCGGAGCCGGGTATGCCAACCAGTTTCTTATAAAAGACAAACTTATCCTTGTAAGGCTAACCTCAGAATGGCTTATTCATATCTTCGTATTTCATCTTCATGCTGAGTGGGTGCACAGTTCTTGAAAGTGAGTATAAAAACATTAGCTGCACAAAAAATTGTGATCTACAGTGCTAGATGTGGGTATTCCACGTTTCTGCAGTAGTTCGTCATCAAAATATTTACGCAAATAGGATTGATCATTTGATTCTACTAAACTCTTTGCAATCGCGTAACTTCTTTTACAAACTAGCTGGCAAACCCGGCTCCACCCGGCTCTATCAATAATATAATTTCGTAATCAGCATACTTACCCTTGTGTCAGTTCTCAACCTCGTAGGTGAAACTTTGATTGACTTTGATTTTTTCATTGGTCGATATCGATAAAATCAATCGATCAATGAAGAAAAGTGGTCTGTGATATCCGCCTCGCCCCAAAGTGTATGTGTGCCAAGTTGGTCCGATCGGCTCAGAAATAAAATTTTCTATTCGGAACATACGTCATACGGACATACAACACGCGCACATACAAACAAAGATTCAGCTCTATTTATACAGATGAAAGGTAATGCTTCCATTCTTAAGGCTAGTATTTGCATAACGATGCATGCTGCAGAATAATACAATAAACATTTAGTACAATGACAACGAGCTAGCAGTAAGATTTATCCTGTATGCCACTTGTGGGGCCATAGTGTGTGTCTCGAGTACTATATCTATCATGGTATTTTGCTCAAATGACATACGAAAGAAATATATTATGTTCCTTGCATTATCCTTCGGAGACCTAGTGAGTGCCAGCTTTGATCCCCAACAGTATAAACAAAACATTTATTTGTGCAGACAAACGGCCTGGCATTCTTATTCGCTGGTATTTTTCGACTCTCTTATCTGAAAAATGGGAATTTTTATGTAGTGACACCCTCCACGACATGCATCTATCGTACACCTTGGTCAGCGCTTATGATATTTTCGGGTAAGCATTTTTGCATCTTTCATTCATTTCAACAATTTTTTGCTTTCCATTTTTTCCTGAGTTGCCTACAGATCTCCATAAATAATAGCAGCAAAAGGTATTATTTTGTGCTTCTAAACGGCGATTGAATTTGCGTCGTCGATGTGAAAAACGTTTCAGGCGAATTCCCTGAAACTTTTCTTTAGAACAAATTGTGTACGATAAATGTTAATTCCCTAAAATTGATGGCGTATACTTTTCCAAGCGTTTGAGTAAGCCTGCAATTGCTAAAACAACATGGCTTTGTGAATTTCTAACTACATGGACATTTTTGGAATGAACAGCAAAGCACAGAAGAAGAAAAAGAACAGCAAAGAACAGTAAGCATGTGAACGTTGAGCGTTAATTCATGAGGATACATATCAATTACTTAGTGTTTGCGGCTAAACAACACCTAATTCATGTTCATTATGTCAATGTCAAGTCATCCATTTCGGCTCGTAATCCTTAAACATGAATAAAAATTTTTTTCGCATCTTGGTAAGGGATAGCAATTGCAAAGTTCAGAGACAGCCATGCAATCATTTTCGTTGACAATTAAATAAATCAAACGTGAAAAGTGCCAGAGCTTGCTATGGCCCTTAATATTGTAAATTTTGGCAAATGGGGTTTAGCTTGGGTTGGCAAGCAACAAAAGCGATAGTTGCTGGGTGCCAACAACGCGCATCTTCCACCTTCATTCTTGTCCATGCGAAAACTCCAACGAGCATCTTTCACCTTCATTCTTGTCCATGCGAAACTCACAGCATCCCCTTTATTTTAAGTTACAGGACATATCAAACGCAGTGTCGCTTGCATCAGCATCTCCACTCTCGCGCTGGACTCTGCATCTCTTCCGCGAACATGCTCTCTGATCGCTTTCCCAGGGCGAGCGTGGAAAAGGAGGAGCCTCAATCGATTGGAAGTGATTAAAGAGCATGTTGGCGAAAGAGGCGCAGACTTTAGGGCGAAGATGGATATGCTGGTGCAAGCGACATTGCGTTTGATAAGCCCTGTAACTCAACTGGAATCGTTTGCTTTTCCACAGACTATCGTATTCGGCGTGTTCCCCCTTCTGGTACTTCCCTTTTTGCAATGCAAAAATTAAGTTGGTATATAACAAAATACTTTTTAGGTTGTTTTGAGTACTTACAAAGCCTCGCTTCCAGGACAGTTTGCCGCCCTTATCACTCTTCTTATTACATTGGAACGAGTTTTAGCGCTGGAATTTTTGAATGTCTATCGAAAAAAATGGAAAGAGCATTACAAATACTACCTTATTTTGCTTGCTTTTGCCTTAACTATGGTAAGGAATTTTCTCTGAATACCAACAATTAGGGCAGGTATTTACAGTTCTTCATAAGCGTTGCTGTTGTGACCACTTATATTAGTGGCAATAAAAATCCAACTTCTATGTGTAGTGTTTTGCAAGCGACTGGCCCTATTTATGGGACCATACATTTTATATTGATAGCTTTAGTGTACCTGCTATGTTTTATAGTTTTGAAAGTTATATTCAAACGTATAAATAGGAGAAGGGTAGGTTTGGCCCAACTTATCTTACATTCGAATTTGATTCATATCCTTAGGCGCCGTCAAAAGATGAAGCATGGAAGCAAAAAATGCTTTTAGTCATTAGCGGAATTTCTGTAATTTTGGTGACTGTTCCGAATGTTGTTTTATGCATCAATGATTGGCAAATACCAAGGATAAATGATCTTGCCGTGGGTAAGTCTGAAACATTGATTGTTTACGATTTTATGACACAAATGAAAGAATGAAAGTGCTCTTTCTAGGTGTGACTTATTGCCTTTATACAATACATTCTGGACTTTCGCTCTTCGTTTACACTGCATTTCGCCCTGACTTTCGTCATAGGCTTCTGTGCATTCTACAACTGCGTAGACTAGGATATCAAGCTCAAAGCACTAAGAGTGCTAGAATTAATTCAGCTTTTACAGTATTTGTTAATGTTAAACCGCTTGAATAAACATTTATTCTTGTTCTTTTGCATTTTTTATGGGCATATCATGACAAAATGGTGAATGTACTGCCTCTTCCATGAGCGCTTTTCTACCACTCTTCACGAACGGAAATTAATTGTCACGTTAGCACATCGCTTCATTCTGGAGTATACCTTGAATTCTTACAATTCTCAATCTCAGAACGGCTTTCTATCAAACGTTGCGTGAGGGGCGTGTTGCATTTATGAAACATTCGAGTATAAAAGTTTTATCTACTTTGGAACTTATCACAATTCAAGAATAGTTGGGCGTAGGCAGAAGAATGGCACCTACAGTTTCAAGAAGGTGGTCCCTTGCGTTTGAACAGGACGCAAGCTGCGGACTTCTTTGAATCGACCAAAATGTACGCATAATTGCAGTTTTAGCATCCGAGAGCAAAACCCGGTGCAACGCATCGGGGTAGTAGTGAACGTAAGGAAACGCTTCGAGAATACTTGCAGCTTTCTCAAGAAGGAGAATTTATCAAACGTTCAAATTTCGACAGATGTTAAAACATTCATTCTCATTCAAGCAAAACTTATGTAAGGCCTTCTGCATGCCTTATCACACATGTAATCTTCATAACTGCGATATTTGAAGTCGATTACCTCAGAATCACGAACTTTGGACATCTCCGCAAATATTTAAGGTCACTTAAAACATTGACCACCATACAAATTTTTGGTTGTCAGCCTTTTGGGACCAAAACCATTTACGGAGCAGCCTAGATTTTTCAAATATATTTACGCATACTGCCATCTACAGTACACTTACAATAGTTCTGAAAGGCAGACAAAAAGGGTAGTGGTCAACCCTAGATTCAGTGGAAAACAAAACTCATGGAGTGACATTATCTCAGGATATTAGTCATTTTAAATAAACTCAAGCCTTGACACACATGGTATGTCAAGCGGTCCCACGCAGTAGTCATTGCTTGACACACCATCTGTGTCAAGCGGTCGTCAATGTGTTAAGCACGTATGCACATACAGTCGAATAGATTTCCCGGTAAAGTGCGCCTGCAGAAGCGACAGCGCTTGCGGTAAGCATTTGTCGTAGAGCAAGGAGTTTCAGGCGATTGAAGTGTTTTCGTTGTTCATTCTTTACTTCTCAGGTTCTTCACTTTCCAATCGACTAGGAGTAGAATGTAAGTTGGAAAGCAGTTTCCAGTGTTTTGGTAGCGTAACCATTTCACATAACCTTTGTATAAAAAACGTTTCTTTATTACGCTAGTGAGTCCCTTGAAGTTAAGGTACTCATCAATCCCTGTCTCGGGCGATTGTTGACCAGTGTTTACGTATTGCACCAGGAACACGTGGAACGCTCTGAAGGACATTAGAGGACTTCGTGAACATATCTGACCATCGCGTCGGCGGTCTTTCTCGTTTGCGTTTGACGTCCAGTGGTATCCAATCTGTTACAGCTCTCGTCCACGGTTGTCGTCGAAACGCATTACGTGCCCGGCCCATCTTATCTTGTTCTGCTTGGCGTACGCGGCGGTGGCCCTGATCTACGATCGTTGACGTAAAGTAGAACTTCGTAATCCTTGCCTCACTTGCGTGAGTCGATTCACTCCTAGCATCACTCTCTCAACAGCCCGTTCGATGACGCTAACCGCGTGTTCATCCTGCTTCCTCAATGTCCATGTTTCTGAAGCGTAGGTGCAGGGAGAACCGTCGAGTTGAAAAGTTGGGTGCGGAGCCGGATCTTTCACTACGTCCTCAGTTGTGTTATATGCTCCCCATGCTGCACGTTTCCTCCTGCTCAGATCCGGAGCTAGCTCGTTCATCATATTGAGATCACGATCTAGGTAGGTGTAGCTTGAGCATTCGGTGATGTTCGTCCCGTTAAGCATGAAAGGAGCATCAGGCACTCTTCTTCTCATGACCACCGTCTTCGTTAGATTCAGCCGTGGACCGGTCTTTCCACACATTTCGTCAAACTGGGCCAGCATTTGTTCCGCCTGCGTGATGCTTGGTGTTATCAATACGAAGTCATAAGCAAAGCGACGGTGGTGTAGCTGCCGGCCGTCAACTTTCACTCCCATGTTGTCGCATTCCAACTTACGGATGACGTTCTCCAGAGCGGCACCGAATAGTTTCGGCGATATAGTATTGCCTTGTTGCAGCCTCTCTTCACGTCGATGATGATGTCCTTGTAGAATGGTGTTATGGTGGTTGTGAATCGTTATACAGCTCACGAATTAACTTGATGTAATGAGTCGGAATACCTTGATTGCTCAAGGCATCGATGACGGGTTCAGTCTCAACCGGTCAAAGGCCTTCTTCAAGTCGATGAAGGTGAGAAAGAGGGGCATCTCATACTCTCATGACACTTCAATGAGCCTTGACACCGTGTGTATGTGGTCGATCGTGCTGAGTCCTCTCCGAAACCCAGCTTGCTCGCATGGTTGTCCTTCGTCCAACTCTCTTCCGAGCCTGTTGAGAATAACTCGCGTAAAGAGTTTGTAGACTACAGACAACAAGCAGATGGGGCGATAATTGCCGATGCCGCAGGGATTTCCCTTCTTGTACAGCAACACGGTTTTGCTGGTCTTCCATTGTCTTGGAAGCTTGCCTTCCGTCAGGTACCGCGTGAAGAACCTTGCCAAAGTCTTGATGAGAAGTGGAGAAAGATTCTTCAGATGTTTTGGCTTAATCCTGTCTGGACCGGGTGCTGTACGGTTCTTCATCGACATGATAGCATGACGAATCTCGGAAGGAAGAACAGACGGTGCGACATACTCGTCCTCCTTGAGATGGCATGGTGGAAGGTGGACGTGGCTCGCAAAGAGATCCGAGTAGAAGTTGTGGATGACCTTCTCCATTAATCTTCGGGAAGCAGTTATGGTTCCATCAGGGCGGTGGAGTGCGGTCATCTCAGTCTTGAAATTGACGATGCTTCGGCGAGCGTTTCATGTACTTCTTCCAGCCTCCGCGGCTTCAACCATCACTGCTACTCTTCTCTCCTTGAGGTCTTCTTTAATGGCTTCTCTGCATCGCTTCGCAAGCTCGGACGTCAGTCGATAGTTGCCTGTGGCTCTTGCGCATCCACGTTGGCGTATCAGCTCCAAAGTCTCCGTGGTGAGACGCCTTCTCGTATTTCTTAGACTCTGAGCTTCCTTGGCACAATCGTGGAAATGTTGTGTGAACCGTTCGTATTCTTCGTCGATGTTGATCACGGTATCTCGCCATGAGCCGGATATCGAAGAAAACAGATTCCAGTTGGCGGTATTTAAAGGACGATGTTTCCTGAACTTGACGGCTCTCTCTCCACTCCGGGGAAAGTAAAATGTGGCGCGTAGGAGACGATGGTCTGATCCCGTGTAGAACTTCGGAACAACGTCCGTCAGGCAGTACCTTCTGTTGACAATGATGTGGTCAATCTCGTTATGGTACTCTCCACTGGGCGATTCCCAGGTTCCAGCGTCGGGAAGAGGGCTTTTGGAACTGTGAAATCCCATGGATGGTCCTCGTCGTCATGATAAACTCGGACAGTCTCTCCCCTTGTTCGTTCCACTGTAAACCATGGGTTCCGATGTGAAGTTCCTCAGGCGACCTTCAAGTTCCGATCTTCGCGTTGAAATCACCGACGATGATCTTGTAGAAGGTATGATCTTCTCTGTAGAACTTCTCCAAGTCCATGTAGAAGGCCTCAACTTCGTCTTCGTCGTAGCTTGATGTTGTGGCGCACGTTATGAAGTCGGTCAAGGCGGGGATTGATCCACTGATATTCGCAAACGTCCGATTCGAGTTGTAAGTTGTTCGAACGAACCGATGTTCATGGCCAAACTCGTGTTGACAAAGAATCCCACTCCACCTACTCCTCGACTGCCGCTGTTCCTAGGAACAGTTCTTCTCCAGTCTCAAATGTGGCGTCCAGGGTGGCGCCTCCTTGTTCTCGATCAGTCCGATGACGTCGTACTTGATCTTCCTTGCTTGCATAATGAGGTCTTCGATAGATGCGTCCGATGCCAGCGTCCTCGCGTTGTAAGTACAGATCGTCATCATAGTCCGTCTCGTTTTCGGCAGTCTAGATCCCTTTCAAACCTTGTTTTCACTGGCGCTGCCTACCAGTGGCTCTTCCAAAATTAAAGGAGCTTTCCATATTATCACTGTGTCGAAATTTTACTCGCAGGGATAGCTTGTTGGGCTCAAAACCCCCGCGAGGGACGATCGGAGCTTCCTTGTTGGAGGCGACTCCGAACTCGCCTCCCCACACACCTACCCGAAAAATTAGAATGCAAGCTTTTAGTGGAGGCAGGGAGTCCGTCCCCCAGCTCCGCTTGCTTATCAGAGCAGGCGAGGGGCTTTTGGTCGGCAATTATCCCCTATCCGCCACCTGGGGACGCCCCACCTAGCCTCGCGACTAAACGGCTGTGATCCCTCAATGACGGAGATCCGTGGACTATCGCATATTATTCGAAAATTGAAAATTTCGAATATTCGACTTTCGAATATTATTCGAGAATGAAAATTTCGAATCGAATAATTCGAATATCGAATATCATTTGTTATTCGAATTTCGAATATTATTCGGTCCTCGAACGTTATTCAATTTCCGAATACTGATCGAATAATTTACGTCATTGAGACTGCCTATGAAAGGCCAAAACATCCAAGAATTGTTTCATGTAAGTGTTAAGAATGGACACTTTCTTATGTTATAATTCAGATGGAAAAACGGTTTAGTCGAGACGTGAAGAGACTTAGAAACCTAAAAGCTACTCCTGTAATGGTTGTGAAAAGATTGTTCGTACTTCAAAGAAGATTATATACCCTCACTGAGTGTCGTGGGCTGTTTTGCTTTCTGGAATGCTTTTCTATTTATCTGAATCGCTCATGTTTACATGTTTTATGTCTTTCTCATACATTTTTGCTTCTTTCTTTGTGTAATGTTACGTAATTGCGCTTCATATAAAAGGGAATTGAATGGTGAAAATAAAGGAGAAATAAAAGTTCTACCACTGTATCGTCGATACATCTTT